TCATTGGATTACATGAAATCAACTTTAACTTGAGAATATCCGTCAGAAAAAATCATAGCATGTAATTCGTCTTTAAAAAGACAAACACATGACATGATGACAGTAAAATTCTCCTGTTAGTGATTCCATAGTAAATTATGAGGGAAAAACCAGGAAAAAAACCTCATAATACTATCCCGACATTGTAAGTATTTGTTCGTGAATTTATTTACCTTCAACAAACATCAAAATTCCGATTTTATATGTTACGTTATTTAAAAAACATAATATAAATGATGTATCCTCTATATGTTACTGACTTACTAATACTGGTATTTTCTTATTAATAACTTCCTCTTTCAATATTGGTAACCAGATCCTACTATAGTCTGCCGAGGAATTTGCGACACAATTGGCCTCATTTAGCATAATTAGAGCCGCTTCTTTGATTTTTCTTTTTTTACCATCCGTTTCTTTTAGGACTACATTTAAATTAGTCAAATGTAGTCCTAAAAGAAACGGATGATAAAAAAAGAAAAATCAAAGAAGCGGTTCTAATTATGCTAAATGAGGCCAATTGTGTCGCAAATTCCTCGGCAGAATGTAGTAGGATCTGGTTACCAATATTGAAAGAGGAAGTTATTAATAAGAAAATACCAGTATTAGTAAGTCAGTAACATATAGAGGATACATCATTTATGTTTTTTAAATAAAGTAACATATAAAATCAGAATTTTGATGTTTGTTGAAGGTAAACTAAATTCACGAACAAATACTTACAATGTCGGGATAGTATTATGAAGTTTTTTTCCTGGTTTTTCCCTCATAATTTACTATGGAATCACTAACAGGAGAATTTTACTGTCATCATGTCATGTGTTTGTCTTTTTAAAGACGAATTACATGCTATGATTTTTTCTGACGGATATTCTCAAGTTAAAGTTGATTTCATGTAATCGAATGAACTATCTTATAAGTAAAGTCGTCCCAGGAGCGCAACTCATCAATATTGGCAATATCATTTTAAAGTCGTCTACTTTAAAATGAATAATGTATGTCTGAATTGTCAATATAAATGAGTCAGATAAAATTAAATTATTAGAAGAATTTTTCACTATGTAACAAAAAAACAAAATTAGTTTAATTTACTGTTTGTATTTTGAGAACGATTTCCGAAGTGGAAATTGAAACGTCAATAAACGTATTTTTATCTTTAATTGTGGCTTATTCCCAGTTTAATAGAAATTAATTTACAATGCCACAAGAAAATAGCTTCAGAACAATATTCATAAAGAAAGTCATTCAAAGTCAAACCTGATTTGACTTTATTGTCAAAAGTTCTGATACCTATGAAAATTATGCAAAATGAACTAAAATAACACTTACTATTTTAGAATCCAGAATTGTAGTGCTAATAGTGGTGTTTTGTCATCAAGCACTACATTAAAGAGTTAATTTACTTAAATTACTTTTGATATAGCTTGGGTCGAAAAGTTAATACAAATTTAACGAATATTATTTCATTTTGAATTTTCTCTTCATGAAGTAGGTAGGCACGGATCAAAGAAGCATCTATATGAAATAAGATGTTATGGTTACGAATTTTCAAACCTGTTAAAGATAATCCATGATTCAGTATAGGATTATAATCATCCATAATCCACCTTAGTTATCCACAGGTCCCTTAGACCTGCTTAGTCCTACTTAGTTATCCATAAGTCCCACTTAGTTATCCATAGACCCTACTTAGTCATCTATAGGTCCTACTTTCTTCTTCTTCTTCTTCGTCTAGCCATTCACGTCCACATCTGAACATAAGCCTCTTCAGGTCTTCCTTTCCATTGTTTTTTATTGTACGCTACTTGTAGCCAATTTTTCCCGGCAGTCCTTTTCAGATCATCTGTCCATCTCATAGGAGGTCTGCCTCTAGGTCTTTTGTGTTGGTATGGTCTCCAGGTTAAAATTGATCTATGCCATTTGTTTAGATCGCTCCTAGCTACATGTCCAGCGTATTCCCATTTCAACTTTAATGATTTTTGCACCACATCGGTGACTTTGGTTTTCTGTCTTATCCATGTGTTTGTTTTCTTGTCCTTAAGTAATATACCTAGCATTACTCTTTCCATCGCGTGTTGAGTGACTCTAAGTATATTCATATTCTTTTTTGTGATTGTCCATGTTTGTGCCGCATAAGTTAATATCGGAATAATGCATGCATCAAAAACTTTAGATCTAAGATGTAATTGAATTTGTTGATTTCTGAGTATGTAGTTCAATTTACCGAATGCTGCCCAAGCTAACTTTCTTCTTCTTTTTATTTCTTCAGTTTGAATTTCCCTATTTAGGATTATTTTTTGTCCTAAGTATATATATTCTTCGACTTTTTCTATAACTTTATCGTTTATTATTGTCACGGTATCTTCGGAGTATATGACTTTTGTTTTGTTTAAATTCATTTTCAGTCCTATTTTAGAAGATTCGGTATGTAGTTCTAAAAGCATGGTTTGCATTTCCTGTAGGTCAGTAGCTATCAGGATTATGTCATCTGCAAATCGTAGATTACTGAGGTAGCGGTCATTGATGGTAGGTCCTACTTAGTCGTCCGTAAGTCCGTCAGAAGAAACACCAACCAAAAGTCACTATCTATTTCCATGCCAGGACAGACAAAAATCAAATTTCAAGACCAATAGTACATGAAGACAAATAGAGCAATGCAATATTTGAAAGGAAAAATCACTAATTTTTTCCTTGTGTACAAAAGTGAAAGAGAAAGTTGTTAATGCCTTATCCATACTGAAAGGAGTAGAACATAGCTTACAGAAAAATTATAACAACTCACCTGACGGACCTATCTGGCCTATCTGAGTAACACCACACATAAATCGCTTTGCGGCTTGAGATGTAATATCCTGCCCACTTTCCCATGAAGCAAACTATCCCTGTCGAAATCCACTTCGTTCGGCTCGCGGAGATAAGAAACGCCCGAGGCCAATATATCCCTGCCTGTCGTAAGAGGCGACTTATGGGAAGGATTTGAGAGGTGTGATGTGAGGTGCTGAATCTCGTCACGTACCCACCTTGGGAGAGGACAGATTCTCGGCGGCGACCTGTCTACGTGCGAGGTGGAATTCCTCTACCTGCGTTCACCTTTCCGCCTCGAGGGGGGAGATAACGGACAATTGTTCGTAATTGCAACACAGGTACTACGGGGAGGGTGGAGCTCCGCGATGCTTTATGCAACGCGCCACTCTCATAATGGTGTCGGACTCGTAGGAGCTAATGGTTCTGCTTACGGTCATATGCCGAAAGGCCAGAAAGACCAGGGTCCTAACAATATTCTTATTGGAGGGTACACGAATTATTTAAGGTCGAAATCCCCTTATTCCCTTGCGTCGTCTCTGGAGAATTGACAATTTATCAAAATAAATTTAATACTAGCATTATTTAAAATGTAGTAGACGTTTGAAGTGATATTCTAGTTTTGTAACTGTTTCTAGTTACCAATGTTGAAATGTTCCCAAAATCAGAATTTTCAGAAATGTTATCTTTAAGCATCAACTCAAAAACAGGTATCTTAAACTCCAGGAACTTCATAACGGTTTTATTAGCATCACCAAGTTGCTTATAGTCATCTCTTTATAGAATCCAAGAATTGGCAATCGCAAGGTCAAATAAGTGAAAAATGGTTTTGACTGTCCATGTCTTACTTCTAGCTCCCATTCGATAATAACTGATCATCCTGTCAATTAAATCTATTCCCCGATGGATTCGTTGTACTTTTTAACAATGTTTAGTCTAGGTACCTCAACGTATCGGGAGTCCTTTTTTGACCATCACTTACATTCATCTGAAGGTTCTATTTGCAACGCAGTTGACACTAGTATAACTGATATCATATCATACCATTGGACTATGTTAATTTACATACATGAACATTTACATACATGCACTGCTTTGGGTATTCTGGATCTCAGTATTGTACCAGTTAAAAAAATATTTTTGTTTAACATATACTCAAGTAAAGGTAGGGTGGTGAAATATCTATCAATGAATATATGTGTTCCTTCTAATAATGTTGTAGATAACTTAATAACTCCAGATAGACCAACACCTAAATTCTTAACATCATCATTATTCTGTAGAAATCTATGTTTTCTTTGATATAGATATCGAATATCGAAGTCTAATATTACTCCTTTGGGAGTGGCGCAGACAAATTTTTTTAATCCTGCTTGATTAGGCTTACCTCGAACAAATTGTTTCATGTTACACACGCCCTTAAAAGGTACCATTTGTTCGTCCACAGCAACCCCACTGTATCTTGGAAGTCTCAAGCAACCTCTTCGTATTCTTTTGACTAAAGACCGGATCTTAAATATTTTGTCAGCGTTTCGTTGATCTTGAGGCACACCAGCGTCAATAACTGCTTTTAAATTGCTTCTGATTTAAAAATATCTATTACGTGTCATGGCTTGTGCCATGCTGTTGACTTTTGTTATCTTAGCCCAAAACATTGTAATTTGTGGATACTTAAGACAGGACATTAGAATAGATATTCCAAAAAAAAATTTCATCTCAGATAGAGTAACGTTCAAAGATTTTCCTTTTTCTTGCAAAAATTTAATATTGTACAATTACAATATATGTACAATTACAAATATTCTTAAAATCTGAATCACCAAAATACATACCGATGTAGTTTTCAACTGTCCAATTTTGCCTCTCGTCGACTGTATCGACAATTCCGGTAAAGTCTACATGCTGAGAGACAAAAACAACCATTTTGTTTCATGTATTTCGGTTCTCAAGCCTTTTCTGTTCATTGAGTTTTTGTTTTCGGAAGTGGTATTAATATTAAATGAATCCGTAATGTGCTTTAATACATAGAAAATATAACTCAATATGTACCAAGGAATAGATATATCAATACTGGAAAATATATTATTACGTAAAAACAATATTAAAATTTTTAAATACACTTTTCAAAATAGTTCTCCATTATAATAACAATTTTGTTTTAGGCATTGTTATATCTGATTACACTACTGGACCCAATCGTGAAGGGAGACTACGTCATAGCTTATTTTCATACTCTGACGTCGAGCAACAATTATCCATCATTTTCGTGGTTAAAGGAAGTTTACAACATTTTACCCTATAAGTACAAGAAGAATCTGAAGGCGTTTTATGTTATTCATCCAACGTTTTGGACTAAGGTATGTAATTTTGGTGTTTCAATCCTATTTTTTATTTAATCGTCCACCATCACAGTTTTTAGACAAAGAATTTGGGCAAATTTAAAGATCACTTTAAATAAAACTTATTCGAAATTAAGAACAATACTTGTTGCAAATATTTGGAACGTACTTACATACTCCACTAAAGTGAGAAATTCCAACAACGTAAAGTTTAAAACAGCTATACTAGCTATACTATAAAACAGTAATTAGGCACGAGATGAGTCACCAAATGGACGAAGAAGTATTGGAAGACCAAGAAAAATATTGTGCAATAATTTAAACAATTTACGAGTCTAATATTGAAGAAGAAACAGGCTCAAAAGTCTACATACAAGAAGGAAGAAGAAGATCCGGAGAACAAAAAAGTTCACAAATTCGTTTTGGCCCATAGCAAATGAGAGTTGCATAAGATAGCAGAGGAATTGAATCTAGCATAATGCACTATATTCATTATTTGTAATGAATATTTTTAAATAAGAAAGCTTTTGGTGTAACGCGACGTTTGCTCATAGTAGATCAATAACAACAATCTTCGGACAATTCAGTGCGTTGTTTTGCAAGCGTTTCAGTGCAGTAAACAGGAATTAATTTTTGTATCGATACGTAACAATGTATTAAACATGTATACGCAATTCACTACGAAGTCAACTGTATTCAGTTGAATGGGCAGTGGCAAGTAAAAGCCTTCCAAACCGACCAAAGGTGTAACCATCGACTAGCAAGGTTTTGGCTTTTTTATTTTGAGATATATTTATCGATTACCATTACCTTACCAATTTTGCCTAATTTTTTTTTAATTAATTTATTATATTTATTAGTTGTTAGGACCAAGACTTATTCAGTGCAGTTTTAAATGACCAATTAATTGTATTTGTATATATCTTTTAGATGATGACGTGGTGGTTCACCACTTTCATGGCACCAGCAATAAAACAAAAGGTTAACAGCTTACCAGGAGTTGAGTACCTCTATGCCGTAATGTCTCCAGACCAACTAGAGATACCTGCATTTATTACCGAGTATGACATGACTGTAAGTATCGCATATAATATCAATACCCTTAATTTTTATATTTGGCATTATATAAGAGTAAAACCTGAGATTGAAAAAATAATTATCGGTTGCTTCCTATATAAAATATACTGTTATTGTCATTATATGTATATTTTTATATTTTTTTTTGTAACATAGTTACCAAGCTGATTTCTTAGAAAAAAGATTTTGTTGTTTATCAAGTTCAAGTTTATACAAAGTAATGAAAATGTACAATTTTATTTTGATATTCTTTTCTTTGTAACAAAAGATATTTTAAGGTCTTAAATGGCTAACAGTTCATCCAACTGGAACATATTTCGAAGTGCACTTACAGAACAAATATCAATGAACTTGCCACTCGAAACAGAAATACAAATTGAAAATGCTGTACAATGTCTTACTACTTCCATACAAAAGGCGGAATGGAGTGCTACTCCTGAATAGAAAATGTGAAAGGAGATCATAAATTGTTCTCTGGGTGCAAAAATCTTGATTAAAGAGAAAATAAAACTAAGGAGAAAGTGGTAAAACACACAAACCTATTGACAAAGCAAACCTAAACAGAATTACCAGAAGACTTAAAAATCTTTTAAAAAACAAGAACTAGTATCGAAAACAAGTAATACTATAATGCAGGCTCTATAGACGCCTCTTAAGCTTTTGACAAGGTGTGGCTCACAGGACTTCTGTACAAGTTAAAGAAAAACCTGCTTTACACTTACTTAAAACTGGGGGTAGTGTGCTCAGATCGATCTTGTACCTATTATATACGGCTGACTTAACAACAATCAATAACCTGACACTTGCAACATTTGCAGATGATATTACTTTACTAATATCTCATAATAATCCAGTAATAGCATCAGAGATACTGCAACTATATATAATCAAAACTAATGAATTATTCAAACTCTGGAGAATTAAAGTAAATCGCTTAAAGTCTACTCACATTATATTTACTCTAAGAAGAGATATATGTCCACAAGTTAACCTCGATGGGTATCCTTATCTAGGCATTTCTTTGGACAAAAGATTGACATGGGCCAAACATATATGGACGAAAAGACTACAACTAGGAATTTCATACAGACTAACCCATTTGGTCATATGCAAATCTAAATCTAATGTTATGAAAATACAATGATTTTAATCTAAAACTCATAAGAACAATCGCTAATGTTCCTTGGTATATCCAGAATGACGCCTTACAAAGAGATCTCCAGGTCTCGGAAGAGTGCAAAAGAATTTCTGAACAATATCAAAACAGGTTGCGTGTGCATCCTATCACTCTGGCATACAATCTTCTCCACAACCAACAAGCGAAGAGATTAAAGCGGTATGATCCCTTGGACCTATAAACCTTTCCTAAAAGTGCCTAAAGTAGTGGAAGCTACACCTTCAATAGCGCCCAGCCATTGTGATCTGTGCCGTTTTTAGTATTCGTGTTCGCGTATTACTCTAGTAATTTCTTCATTTCCCTGTTAAATATTTGAGATTTACTTAAGTTATACTTGATTGCCATGATCTCGATTTTCTTTTCTCGGGCTTTCTTCACGTAAATGCAATTCGTATATTTTTTATATTGTACGTTCCAAGTTCGAACGTAAGCTCATTTTATTTTCCACCTCGTCAATTACAGTTTCCCTCATGTCTTCAGGAAATGTTACCTTGGAGTTGTTATTTCTAAAACAGGAAGTATTTTTTGAATTGCATTTGCAAAGCTAGTCTGAAAATACATTGAGTAGACTGTGGACAGTCCACAGTCAGCCGATGTGTGGGAGGTTAAGACAGTTTAGAGTCTCCCTAACCGCACAGTTGGCATAAAAAATTGATAATTATTAACATTATAACCAGTCTATTGAAAAGTTACATTGAGATTACATCTTTGAGACGACGCAATTTCATTTTTTTTTTTGTATGTGAGGTGGTTAGTATAAGCTATAGTTCGAGTTTGTGGTGTCGCCAACCTTGTCCCACGACCGCCATCTTGGAAAAAGAGGCCAACGGGTTTTCGCGCTGTATCTCGTAAATTAGCAACCCTACAGAAAATTTTATCAAATATTACTTGTAGCAAATTAAATTTTCTACAACTTTAAATTGATCACTTTTTATCGTAAAATTGAAAATAAACAAGTTATAAACAAAAATATCAAATAATTTTTGAAAAATTTTCTTTTGAGCCTTATAACTATTTTTCTGGATATTTTACAATAAAATGACATTGAATCAATTAGGGAATCAATTGCGCCAAAGTATTTCCTGTCTTATATAAACACACTACATCCAAATATTGAATTTACGATAGAAACAGAGAAAGATCAACAGCTAGCATTCCTAGATGTATTAGTAAATCAAAAGGAATGTTACTTAGGACATAAAGTGTATCGAAAACCCACACACACAGACAGATACCTAAACAGGAACTCAAATCATCATCCAGACCAAAAATAAGGTATCATCAAAACTCTGGCGGAGAGGCCGAAGAGAATTTGTGAACCACAGCACCTGTGAACCTCTTCATATTAAAAAAGTGCTCACCTCTAATGGTTATACTAGAAGAGAAATACATAAAGCGATTAACAACGTTTATAGAAGAAAGGACGAAGAAACAGCATGTACGGTCAAAGCGTTCTTGCCCTATATATCGGGGGTAACAGACAGAATTGGGCGAATACTTAAAAAAGGCAATGTAAAGACCATTTTCAAGCCTACAAATAAAATCAAGGACTGTTTAAGATCGGTATACTCTGGCCGTTGCTAATGGGTCGCGATTGTTCACCGAATACCATGCATGTGGTATGGTATATGTGGGAACCACGAAAAGACACACAAAGACAAGGATAAACGAACATAAAAGCCATTGTCGCTTAGGACATATTGGTAAATCTGTCGTTGCCAAACACGCTGTTTGGGAAGTGGAGAACATCGGATACTCTTTAAAGAAACGCAGATGCTTTCATTTTTTTAAAGTGTCACTGGTTGCCTAATCCCAAATATCATTTACTGGTTGCATATACATCTATGACATTGCGAGAATTATGGAAGTGTTACTTACTCACTTCGCGTTACCTTACCACCCAACGACCTTTAAAATATCTTAATAGAAGACTTGCGTGCCTTGGAAAGTTAGAACCGGCCGTATGAAGATTAGTGCTCTATTTAAAGTGCTATCGAGGCGATCTATAATTAACAAACATTTATAACCTTTAAATTATCAATAGTAATAATATATTTTGTTTTTTTTAGATCAATGGTATCAGATACTTCCAGCCCGTGACAACATAACTGTGGGTCTAACGGCCCTACCAAAGCAAAAAGTCTAGTATTAACCATTTCCTCCCAGGTGATAAGTCGCAATATATTTTTCAACTAGTGCTAAAGAAATAAGTTGTGTGTGCCAACTAAGAAAACATATTTTAGAACAATTAAGTGTTGAGCGCATCAAATCATTGTTCAGCAGAGTAGTATAGAACTTTCCATGTCATTATATGTACGGCATTATCGTAATCTAGACAGTACTTGTGATATAGAAAGTCTATGCTGCTCGAAACTTAAATGGCTTTGTTAATTTTTGTGAGAAAAATAATCAAAGCTATAGTCAGTAGCATATAATCTATGTCTATCTAAAAATATAAACAGATTCTATTTCAGTTCCAAAGAAACGGTATATTCTTCTGGAACTGAAGTCTGTCATATATTTTTGATAACCATTTACTGTATGTTTTATTTAACAGAGATCACTCACATAAAGAAACAGGGCTAATTTTTATCTTATATGACAAGTATCTGTAGTAACAGAATAATAAATATGAAATACTTCCAAGTTATGAGTCCTATATATGTGCAGGTTTTGAATATTTTATTATTTGACACAGCTATTTACCTAGAAATAGACATATCAAGTGTTCCATTAATACACTCACCGGCAAAATTAACGGAACACCTTAACAATGGGACATGTTAGATGTCTCAAATTTCCTAAACCTGTTGTCTGATTTGAGTGATTTTTTCAGTATGTTATAGTTATATTATTTAAGAATATCAATGTAATAATATTGTTGCTAGACAGGTCAGTGTCATTTTATACCGGGTGTAACAATCATACTGCGTTTTTTCCTTAAAGTTTGGAACACTCTGTGTAATATTCTAGCATATATAAAATATTGAAATTAAAACTCAATTATAGCCTCAGGCTTTCTTAACATTTTCTTTTTTGATTCATTTGCTTGTGTTGGACAATAAAAAAAGTTAGCTACTTTAACAACTAGCCATGTTTTTCATCAATAAATGCTCATTTTATGCTTTTTACCGGCATATTTAAAGGAACAACCATAAAATCTGAGTATTTTCTCTTTAGTCTATATATTGTTAATATTGTTTAGATAATATTATAATACGAATGTTGGTGAAGTATTTTGAATTTATATTACAATGGTAGTACAATATGAAATCTGTTTAAGAAGAAATAAAACACAAAAATGTCAGACTCAAACAAAATGCGGATTTTAAACACATTAACTTTATTGTACAGTTTGAACTTAAATTGGTTTTTTATTCATTTTTTTGGCTTTAATAGCGTGTGTTTCCCCTACGAGCCCTTACAACTGCAGTTAATCGTCTTCTCATACTTCTGATAACGCTATCCATCAGTTGTTGAGGCAGTCTCTTCCATTCCTCAATCAAAGCAATTCTGACTTCCTCTCTGTTTTGAATAGCAGGAACCCGTGCCCTAAGTTTTCTACCTAGCATGTCCCACACATGCTCTATAGGGTTCAGGTCTGAGGAACAAGCTGGCCAATTCATCGTTGTTATACCCACTTGTAATAAGAAATCTCTTACACAGCCTGCGACGTGTGGGCGCGCATTATCCTGCAATAAAATCAAATTTTCGCCAATATATGGTGCAAAAGGTACTACATGGCCTTGGAGAATATCTCGGATATACCTCTCTGCTGTTAATGCTCCATCATCAATCACCACTAACTCTGTTCTTGCTCCCAAATATATACTGCCCCACATCATAACTGAACCTCCACCAAAAGGTACGGTCGTAGTAAAATTGAAAGGGGCATTTCGTTCTCCTTGGCGTTGATAAAATTTTTCTCTACCGTCGATGTAATTTACACAGAAACGGCTCTCGTTTGTAAAGAGAATTTGACTCCAGTGGCTATCATTCCAATTTTAATGTACTCGACCAAATTGTAGTCGTGCTAAACGATGGTGTCTCTGGAGTCTGGGAGCTTTTATTGGCACATATGACTTGAGACCGACTTCTTTGAGTGTCCTTACTGTGCGCTCACTTATGGTTGTTCCACGAACATTTTGCAACAGGTTTTTGGTTTGAACTGCCGTTTGACGTCTACTACGTAATGTTTGCAAAGATATAAATCGATTATCTACAACCGTGGTTAATCGACCTTATCCCCTTCTTACATAATCCCCGGTTTGTCTCCAACGACTTACACAACGATGGATGGTTGATGGTGATTTACCAAATATTCTAGCAACTTCGACCATTGTTACGGCACTTGCAATATCAGTCGATATTAAATCATGCATTTTTACTTACTCTTTGCAATAAGAACACCACTGATTAGAACAAATCAAAAGAAAAATCACATCCAACAAAATCAAACAAATTAACTTATCAATTAAATACAAGTTTGTACTTGTTATCAACAGACAGAACGACTGTAAAATGTAAAACACAGTAGTACAAATAAACAAATTAATTTGACATTTTGACATTTAAGACTTTCTTGTGACAAGGAGCATTCAAAGCTATGTAGATATAGTCTATAAAATACAAATATAAAGAAATATTGCATTAATAACTTGTTCCATGACGTATAAATACGTCCATGACTTGTTCCTTTAAATTTGCCGGTATATGTATTAAATTGTTAACTTCTCATAGCCTACTTTAGGCTTCTTTATTACACTAAGCAGAAAATGAGGATTTATTGATGAAAAACATGGGTAGTTGTTAACGTACCTAACTTTTTTATTATCAAACACAAACAAATGAATCAAAAAAGAAAAAGTTAAGAAAGCCTGAGGCTATAATTGAGTTTTAATTTCAATATTTTATATATGCTAAAATATTCCACAGGGTGTTCCTAACTTTAAGGAAAAAAACACAGTATGATTGTTACATCCGGTATAAAATGACATTAACCTGTCTAGCAACATTATTATTACATCGACAATCTTAAATAATATAACTATAACATACTAAAAAAATCACTAAAATCAGACAACAGGTTTAGGAAATTTGAGACATCTGACATGTCCCATTTTTAAGGTGTTCCGTTAATTTTGCCGGTGAGTGTAAATTTGTAAATGTTATTTCGTAATACTTAAATTGAACTAAACAATTTTTTATTCTTAAAAATTTATTGAACCATTTTGCTACAGAAAAAAAGTGCAAAAAGTTTTATAAAGAACAAAGAACACTCCTTTATTACATAATAATACCAAATATTTTGTTTTACCAAATATCTTTTCATCTTCTTTATGTGAAAGGACAAAATCCAAATTATATTTTTAAAAAAATCTCATTCTATTTTACTTACATACTGTGATATGTTCAGATTTTACGGTATAATTAGAATTTATAAATAGTTATTGCAATTTTATTATGGGAACGATAAATCGGGAACAGATAATACGGAAATAAATACAAACTGCACTTATATGACAAAATAATTAACAAATATTATTTTTTTTAAATATGTAACAAAAAAATTATTTTTTATAAGTAGCGATATTTTCTTGTGCGTTTTATTACATAAATATGTTTTATAGTGATATAGATAAATAAGACAAACAGTAATATTCCTACCTCATACGGGATTGTCACCTGAGATTTCAGCCTTGAAGACCATCCTAGTGTGTGGTATCTACATAAATGCTTAAAAGTGTATAATACCGTTAAGTTTGAAAAAACTATTTAAAAAACTATCATGTCTTATGGGCGTTTTTAATGAATTGTTGAAAATTTTTGATTTATCAAAAGAAGAAAAAAATCGCGTAGTATTAGTATATATCTATTGTCGTCTCTGTTTTTGAGACGATGTTGTATTTCTTGTGCTAAAATAGTTTATACTAATTTTAATACTATTATCATTACGTTCATATTTTGTTCCACCGACGATTACGGGACCTTATTTCTACTTGTTAATTTTAATCAATTAAAAAATCCCACAGTTAATCATGATAGATTATTGGGACATACGTAAGTACGTCGCATTTTTCTGTTTGGCATCTTTCCTCCTATTCATCACATAGAGGACACATTAAGTCATCCAATTTAAAAAATGTAGATGCCGCCTGAGTCTACAGCATCTTCTACGGTTTAGGAGATGGGCTATAAGACCTTTGGCCACTAATCACGGGTTGGTGTCCCACAGACTGAGTGTTCCGGTACTCATATCAAGTATACCTTATTGGTCAGCGCAACATCAGCCAATGCTCTCTTGCACTTAAGAACCAGGTTAAAGCAGACGGTGGATGCTTCCAGAACCTTTTTAGAGCGTTTTTTATGAAAATATGATTCAAAATTAGTTTTTTATATATAACGGAAAGCCCATTTCTTAAATTAATCAAATGGTACTGCATGAAAGGCTAGATTCGAAAAATACGTGATATAAATACAATACTCTGATACTGGCATGTATACAGAGAAGTCAATATATCATTGACATTTGTATGGGTCCTTAAGTATAAGATAACATAATGCCAGACAGAAAAGTTAAGTACTGTATAAGCAATAATGCTCTGTTAGCGCTATTGCTTTTCTACTCTCATATATTTATAAACTTTAAATCAAATCTATTAGTCGGTGTGGCAGTTTCATATTTTATCATTGTATCAGATCTCACCTTGTTTTTAACTATCTTGTGTTTAGTGATTTATACTTTAACTATAAGTTTATTACTATAATAATTTTAACTCTAGTATGTAGTACATAACCATTGTAAGCATTTTACAGAAATCAGCATCTAACCTATCTTATTATAACCTAAGTTATTATCATGTGATGAAATCATAAACATATAATACAAATAGACTGACTGGTGCCACATAGACGCGTTCCACCAGTGCGACAGAAAAACTGATGCAAAGCAGTCCCTGTATCTCTTTCTATTGGACCGGAGTTATCGACCACGTGACCTGCTCATTGGTCATTTAGGTCGCATGATCGATACACAAGGCCTGACAAATTAGAAAGAGAGGAACGGACATATATTGCGGCTATCAGTTTATTTGTAATATATGTCTAT